TTTCTTTCTCCCTCCCCTCTGCCTATCCTCTGCTGAGCTACGACACGGCTGCCGCTGTGCAGTCGAGAACACTGTGACGTTCTCCCTCTCCCACTAGCAGCAGCCACCACCTCCCTCTCTCTCTCTCTCTCTCTCTCTCTCTCTCTCTCTCTCTCTCTCTCTCTCTCTCTCTCTCTCTCTCTCTCTCTGAGGCAAGCTCATTCCATATGAATCTCTTCTCAGTCTGCAGCTTAGTGGCTGTAAAATGGGGAGACTAATCAAAAAGTGTGTGTATGCGAGTTAGGGATGTTGGCAGCATTTCGGCATTAACTGGAGATATAATGAAAGGGTGAGGGAAATACAATGGGCTGCCTAAATGCGCAGACACAGTCCAAGTGCAGTAAAATGCTACGCAGTACAGTGGCGTGCTACTAAACAACATTCAACCCACCTGTAGTTGCAATCAGTATTTTAACAGTAATATGAGCAGGATTCTGATATGTGTGAAAGTAAAAACAAGTTCCTACTAAATAGATGGAAATAGGGGAACACATTCCATCATCAAGGCCATTCCCACTGTCTCATTGCAGACAACCTTTTTGATGAGTTTCTTAATAAAAAGAATAGGGATCAGTGTGTGTATTACAGGTATGGTAACCAGTGCTGCTCCCAGAACATCTAACACCTGTTAAATATTCCCTTTTTTGTTAGCAAGAGTCCATAATGCTACTGCTAAACGCTAATACCAGCATGCTAACACATTCACAATGTCAGTAACAAACATGCCAATATGTAGCAGGTATGTTTACGATGTTCACCTTCTTAGCCTAGCATGTCAGCATTGTCAAGCTAAGCTAATCAGCTCTAAACACAAAATAAAACTGAAGCTGGAGGAACGCTCAACAACTGGACAAACTGAAATGTGGCATGCTACATCCCAAGTCAAACGATGACCAACATTATTACAATGTGTGGTGAACATGAACATCAGATCCAAACTTTAATGGCAATCCATTCCACAGTTGTCAAGACATTTCACTCTGGACCTATAATGCCCACCTCATGATTGAGCTACATGACAAATAAGGGGATCACCACCGTCATAAGGATTCATCCTCTGTGCCATGAATGCCTATACAAATTTGTATGGTAACATATTCATTAGGTGTCCAGATACTGTATTCCAGTCTGGACCAAAGTGGGGTACGGACTAACACTGAGCATACAGGTTGTGCAGCTGAAGCAATTATGACATGAACACAAGCATTTCAAAAAAGGAAAATAAAGCCAGCACCAAGGGCTGAGTCACTGGGTTTGTTTCAAACAAATTATACTACAAACCTAATGACAATGGAAACCAATGTTCCCATTAACTAGAGGAGGGTCTGACCTCCTGGCTCCATGCAGTATGCTGTTCAGTCATAACCTGCTCTCCAAATGAGCAATGAACCACAAAGACTTCTGTGCTCACTCACCTCAGCAGCCCCACAACAGGTAATCTGCACATTTACAAGCAGTTTATAAATGTCCATCTAAATGTTTCTTCATATATCCACAAATTCAAGACCACATCATGAAACATGCACCTACAGTCAGTATAGAATGTTTTCAGACCCTGTCAGGTTTTCCACATTATGTAAGGTTTCAGACTCATCTTAAAATGGATTCAATTCATTTTTTCCTCATCAATACACACAATACTCCAGTGAAATACTCCAAGTGAAAACAGGTTTGAGTGTATTAAAAAGACTGAAATACCCCATTTACATAACTATTCAGAATGACTGGTATGAAGTGAGTGGCTGGGTTGTATCACCGTGTTCTGGCTGATGTGCCTGTGCCTGTATCTGAGGGCTCTGCTGTTAGCGCTGCATGTTGGTGTTTACTGCGCTCCAGGTGCTCCATGTAGCTGTGGATCATCTGCAAAGTATATCACAAACACAGAGCCATGAAATTAGCAAGACTACTTTACAGTCACTTTGCAATCTGAATGGCACAAAGCATACTGATGTTAACATAGCACGTTTTATATCTTCCGTCTAATGTACATATCAGAATCTAATTTAACTGAAACATCCTCTGAATCCAAGGGGATTAAAGCATTCAACAAGCTACAATGTATTTGCTTGTAATTGATCAAAAGATACCTTTATACCTTAAACCAAGAGAAAGGGAAAATTGAGGTTAATATGTGCATGCACAGTTGTCACAGTCAGAGCCACAATAAATGTATTTGTATCCAGTGTGTAGTTGACAGCTTTTATTTCACTCTCATCCTCACTATTCAGCATTATTCTGATCAGTAGTTGGCTGCTGAAGCCTGAGAGATTTGTTTGTGCACTCTGGAATCTGTTAGTGATGCATAATGGATAACAGAGCGAGGTGGACCAAAGGCTCAGCAGAAACATAATTCATGTTCGGATACTTCATGTTTTGATCATCTTCAGTGTCTCTCCTTGGTTGTTTTATACCTCTCCCCAGATGTGCTTTCTCATGACAGTCTCTGGACTATAAAGATCACAAACTGAACTTCACATGCAGCTTTGGCTTCAACACTCATGTGCAGTGTACAAGTGCATTCATATACGTGTGTGTTTTTATTTCTAGATCGTATTGAATATGTAAAGGAATCAGAAAAGTGTTTAAACCAGACGTTTCCAGCAAAAGTCAACATGTATATTGTGCAAAATAAAATCACCTTTATTGGTTATTGTATTGTATAATCAGGCAAAAGGGCACTGTATGTGTGCAGCCACAAACTCAGAGCGGCTCACCTCAGTGTGTCTCTGATGAAGGGCACTGTACTCCTTCTTGAGCTCCGCTTCCCTCTCCTCCAGTCTGCTAACTGGATAAGAAAGGAAGCAATAACTCAAACTCCATATGATCAAACAAGCCATATAAATATACCAAGATTTCCTGATAACAATAAGGACGTTTGTGTGAAACCCCATTATTCAGTTACTATATATTACTTAACTAATAGCATCTCATAAATCCTGCCAAAACATGGATCAAACTGATTCATGATAAATCATTTGCCTTCTTGGAAATCCAGTATTTTTACCTCACAATATGAATCATTGAAAATAGTGACAGTGGTTACTTGCTGTAATTACATGTCAGAGTCAGAAGAGGGCCATCATGCATCAACAACCCCATGCTGAACTCCACCAGACACACAGCCTGGATGGGTTTATCTCTCTGCTCTGAATCACTGAGGCATCTATGAAGTCAGATACATATCATGACCACTAATGCTTCAACATCTGAGTCAGACACAACCATCCATTTTAGCCAATTCTGAGAACAACAATGATTTAAAATTCTGAATCCGCACAGGGTGAAACATCTAACTCTTTTTTTGGTTTCTGGCTGTGCTGGACAGTGAAAGTTCCCGGCATTGCCACATGTTGTGTAATCACCGGAGTCCTCAAGGGCAAGAATGGAAATGACACTATTTTTAAAACTTTCAGGTGGGGCCTGCTTGCTTGTAGTCAAAACAGTTCAACAGTCTGGTTGAGCGTGCTGTTTGAATGCCAGCCGTGCACATGCCCTCAAAGCATTTCTTGCAAACCACATCTACTGACATTCCCAGGACCTTCCAGACTCAGTCATAAACAGCCCCTTCACATAGATGTTTATCGAGGTTTGAGAACATTAAAATCTAACAACTATGTGATCAGTGAGGAGCAATAGTTCCGACAACAGCTGCACAGTGATGTGATTCAATGTGGGCATGTGAGGGCTGATAGAGGAACTAGTAGTGAAAGAGCGGAGCAGAAATAACCCACATAAAAACTTTGAATATCCAAGTAAACATGCATATCAGGGTTATGTGCAGCTTCGGGTAGTGGTGCTAAAATGTCATAGATAATACTTAGTAACAATATCTAACACATATTTTAGCATCACTTCCTGATGTCTAAGACACACACATTTGCATTTGATTATCATCATCATCACACATTTTGCTTGATACATGACTGAAACAAACAGATCATTGAAACTACAGCTACATCCTTCCTCCTCAGTCCTATCATTCTACACTGTAAGCCAATCAATCAATCAACACAAAATGACTTAAAAACTGAAAAGAGACAGTAATAAAATAAGAAAATTAAAAAACTGAAAATTGACATGACAGTGTGTTTGCATTCTCCAAACTATATTGATGTTCATACAGTAAGACTGACTGACTGACTGACTGACTGACATGTCAAACAGCTGCACTGTTCCCAAAGTGGTCCACAGCAAAGTTGGGAAGTAACGAAGTACACATACTACTCCTTACTTTTGTACTTTGAGTACATTTCCGAGCCTGCACTTTTTACTTTTACTCAAGTAAAAAGTTTGAACCACCAGGCCTATTTTATTTATTTATTTTTTATAAACATGGGCATCTGAACTTCTACTTGAGTAACAAATGTGTGTATTTTTGCCATTTCTGGTCCACAAATATAATTACAGACAAATGAAACTGAAAAAGCAGAAAGGGGAAGAGTCATATTGAAAGAAAAAAAAAATAAATAAAAATATACTGCGAGATCTCATATTTTCCTTTAGCATGAACAGGGCGTGTGTTACGGCCCTGCAGTGGAAAAACACAAGCAGTCATACATGTTCAACAGTGCAGTCATGCACACATCATGAGGGTTTTCATTTGATACCATGGAAAAGCTATCACACTGAGACCTTACTTCAAACACACATAATGATCAGTTCTTTTTACGTGTGTCTTTTAGGTATGAAACCAATCTTATTATCTAGAAACACAGATTGAATAAAAAGATCAAAATGACAAGCCATGGTCTCTTGTTACTGAACCTTTCTGGGCTTTGGACATGTTTGGTTTCTTCTGTTACAGCTCATCAGCAGACTTGGCAAGCAAACGGTTATAGCATGCTACAAATGGCCTTTATTCAATAGGGACATTGAAGTCCATCTGCCCTCTGGCACTTCAAGCTAACAGTCACAAGACCTGCAAACTGTCAATGCTGCTCACAGAGTATACAGCCTGTGTGTGTGTGTGTGTGTGTGTGCTAGACTTTCCAAAAACAGAGCTAGTACAGTAAAACCAAAGTAAAAAGACAGCTGTGCACTGTCCTGAACTTACTGTGATCTGCATAGTTTTTAGTTTTTAGTTGTAGCTGGCGTGTGTGAGACTCCAACTTCACCAGTCGACACTGAAGATCCTTCTTCTCTCCTTCCTGGGAGTCTTCAAAGGCAATGTAGCTCTGCAGATAAAGACAGAAAAAACAGACAGTTATCATCACAGCACTGAGCCTGAGCCATGATTGCTATAAAGTACTGAACTTCCAGTGAGGGGTGGATGATTTGTTTATGGCAGCATCAAGACACAGAAATGTCGCACATACATGTAAGCAGTCAGTTTCTTTTAGCCAGTCTGGCATGAGCTGTGAATGACCTCACAATCATCACAGTCTATGGCATCAAACCTTTTCAAAGTGCATGAAAAAAGTACAGGCTGAAATAGAGATGATGTGGACTAAATCCTGTATGTGTGTGCATGACCCACTCGTGCTAACAGTGTTGATGCCAATGGAAAATGCAACACAAAGTGTCTGTCTTCTGTCCATTGTGATAGTCATCTAACCTCTCTGAACAACAGGCGCACAGTGCCAGCTTCATCAAAAAGAAAAAAAAAAAAACAAACAAACACTACAGCTACAGTCTTTGTGCGTGTGTGTATCTGAGTATGACATGCACACAGTTTCCAGGGTTAGTTAGTAACAGTTCATATCAGTTTCAAACCTTATTCACAGCAGCTGTTGTCACCAGCCTCAGTTCTTCCTCAGGCTGGATGAATACACATTACATTATGGGTGCACTCTGAAGACACATGTTCACAATACATCATAGAATCATAGAATATTGTCAACCTGTAACTTTACTGCTCCCAGCATGGCATCTCAGTGGTCAGTCTGACACTTGGGCCCCTGAAGCAGCTTAGTTAACCGTATCAAGCCACAAACCCACCATGCTGCCTGAATCAAATCCATTTCAATCTGGGTCAACCACTGCTCTCTGATTTTCTTCGTGAACAGATTAGATCGGTCAAAACTTTAAGTTCTAATGGGAAAGTTTGTCTCTGAAGGGACAAAAACAAGTCCACAAACATGAACAATCTTTTTCCCCCAAGAAGTCTCTGAAGGGACAAAAACAAGCCCGCAAACATGAACAATCTTTTTCCCCCAAGATCAGTGTCTCAGATTAGGATATCTGTCAATACCATGTACCTGTCTGATATCAAAACCCTGCTTTCCCTGTATTTAAAGCCTGTACATGCATCTTAAGAACTGAGATATGGGGTGTAATGCAGCAGTTCCCATGTAAATCTACTAAGAGAAGACTACAGATGGGAGGGATCATGAAAAAGGGGATAGCACCCTAATCTGCAAATGTACACAGTTACAGTAATGGTCTTAGTGTCTGATTATGTTAAAATGCTGACAGCACAGGGATTTTGCAGAAAATGCTAAATCTTTCTTAAAACTACATGTTAACCTAACAGTAAGCTAGTTTATTAAAGTGTGAAGCAGTGTATGAACGACACATGCCGACAGCCCCTCCTACAATATCACCACAATCATTAAAACCACCACATCTCTCACCCTGCTGCTCATCAATCGAGTGAGCTGGACATTGAATGTGGAGTGCCTCAGGGTTCTGTTTTGGGACCTAAATTATTTATATTATACATTAATGATATATGCAAGGTTTCTGATTTAGTGAAAGTGGTTTTGTTTGCTGATGACACTACCATATGGGCATCGGGTGAAAACCTACAGCAACTC